TTTAATAACGAACCAAAAGTCTAAACAAGAAGGGATGCAACCCCAATCTAACGAACTAATCAACTAACTAGAATAAAAGTCTGTCTGAAATGGTAGACATAGACAAAGAGAATCCATGGCAGCCTGGAAGAATTGACTCACCCATTAATTTGAATGATCACTGATCTTCTAAGCGAGGTCTGTCAGTAGCCGTTTGAAGATGCCATGTACTCAACAAAAAAAGAGCAAGTGCAGTATCAGTACACAACCACAGTGTACTGGTAGCACACGGCTATCCCACTAAGTGCAACATATATAAATCATCACAACAATATAATCACATGCATATATCGAACATATACAATATTATCAATATTTACGAACAATGAACATTTCTCAAGATACAAAAATATGACAAGTCACTAGTCTTCTCATGAAACCCAAACCCAAACAGTTAGCATACCAGAACGTGGTACCCGATCCAATGATTATTCCAAAACATGGCAATCGATCCCATAATTATGTCGGAATGTGGCAACCGATCCAAGTTAGTTATGTCGAAACGTGGCAACCGATCCATTCAACAAACCACAATCACAATCACAATCACAATCAAAAGTATATCCTTAAGATCATACAATTAAGTCATGATTTCATGACAATCATCATTCATCTATCTCATTTACAACAAGTGTGATCAATAATGCAACATTGATATATATACATGTATCATAATGAAGCAAGAACAAACATACATCACACAATCATAGAATCACAACCATCACCTACCTCAAAACAAGCCTTGAAACCCTAAGAAACTTGATCCTTTCCTTTTCAGATTCGTTTCGCTTGTTCTTGGTCTACAAACAATCATAATAACACGGGACTCAATAAGCAATCACTAATATTTATCCGAATTTATAACAATTCTATGAACCCTAGATCAAAACCATGATCCCAAGTATCCAAAATAGGGTTGTTCCCACCATAGAATCTGGATCAAAATCCTACCCCATTGATAATTACCCATTCTATTACATTCTACAGATCGGAAAATAGATTCGGGGAGTGAAAAGCTTACCTTTAGCCTCAAGAATGGTGGAAAACTGTTAAGAGTCACCTGAGGTTCGTTCCTTAGCTCTAAAAATAAAAAATTGCAAAATAAGGTTGTTTAGGGGTTTATTTACGACTTTAAGTCACGTCAAACCTGCCACAGCGGCCCTCACCCCGCTGCAGCGGCCCCGCTAGAGCGACACAAATCCCGCTAAAGCGGCTTGCACGGAATCAGTGAACTGTTTTAATAATTCTAAGACCCCATTTCATAACAAACCTCTAACCAACGACGCTCAGAAAATACCCTTTACGCTAAGATCGATTCCGAGAGTTCTACTCATCCGAATTCAATTCCGTAAAGTCGTACAGATTTCTTATCCAGTTATCTAACCACTCGTGTAATCAAAATCATAAATACTTCACCCGATTGTTACCATATTTCCCTACACCTTAATGACTCCGATTTTGGCCAAATCCAAAACTAGGTTGAGAAAATTCAAATACTACAAAATAGTTTTTCGACCCCAAATTTTCCCCGTTGGCTTCTCTATAACGATGGAACCCGATCGTTACAATAGCTCACACATCTAGGTTGGTTCAACTACAGTTACAAAATACTATAAAAAGTCTACGAATGTTAAATGGGCAAATTAGATTGATTTAAAATTTTCGTGCAAAAAGTCATAACTATTATTTATAGAGACCTTAAATTTCTTTTATTTAAAACCTCATTTTGATATACTTCATTGACACTGAAGAAAACTTCGCAAGAAGCAAAGCTGAATACTACTTATTGTTTTTGTCTTGATTGTGATTCGTGTGCCCACATGTTTGGTCATACATACGTTACAAATCACTACTCCCTCAATATATTTTTACTTGTACATGTTTCATTTAATACCCATTTTAAAAATAATAAATAAGAAGATAATTTTATTATATCATTTCTATTAATTATAAATCACTTAAATATTGAGAAATGTGTAATATTTAACAGCAAAAATAAAATAATCATAAATAATAAATTATCTTTAATGACATTCCAAGAAGATTCACAATTAAATTTACCAACAAGATGGTCTCTGAGATTTGAGAAATTAATAGTGATCCCTCTAATCTGATTCACCAATTATGTTTTGAAAGATTTTGATTAGGTAGGAGTTTGGCCATGTGATACCATATCACGATATGGTATCGTGAGATTGAATCAGCGTTTGGACATGCGGTTTTACGCTGATTCCATCTCATTATTCCATATCATGATATATGATTTCATATTCTCCAAAAACCATGATATGAAATTATATGGTAATTTCATATCATGGTTTGAGATATTTTAATTGATACGCTCAAATTACACCTCATTTCAGAAGCATAAGCGATCGTTATCAAGTAAAGAACCCAACTTGTAGGTTGGGATCAATCCCACGAGGAAAATGGTTTAGACTTTACTTTTAACCAACAATTATATTCACTTAGTCAAATTATTTCCAGAAACAGGTAATAAAAGGGGGGTTGTGCTTGTGTGAAACAAATAGTAAGAACTTAATAAGTAATCAATAATTAAACTCAACTTTGGTTGTTATCAAGATAAGAGAAAGAACTAGGGTATACGTGTTCCCCACAATCTCATAACGCAGTAATCCTAGTAATAGCAATCCTTTTCTAGTGTATTACATGCAAAGTGATAAGTTAGGTATCTCTAAATCCTTGGTCCGGCATCTAGAGAATTTCACCCCGCACCTTGGTCCGGCTACGTGTGTATAATTTACTAACCCTTACTTTTACCTCATATTAGACATCATAATCGATGTTTGGCTTAGTTATTACTTCGCACCAATCGACACTAGCCTATTAGATAGTATCACACTAAATCTATGTTGATAATTCTTTTCTTGTTAATTACCTCCTTGGTCCGGCAAATAGTAACTAGGTGAGTTCTAACGTTGGCCACCGTTAAAAAGACTTCTAAACGAAAGAATTATCAATGCATGCAAAATACTAGTCAAGAATTGCTCATTTACTATTCATACTTTGTTAATTGATCATGGTTCCCACAACCCTAGTTGTGGATTTAGTTACTCATATTGGCAAAAACACAATTCATAATTGTAGATGAAGAAATCATGAACTTACGTAAAGAGAATAATAAACCCAGAAAATTAACTTGAATTGCAAAGCCAAAATCTTCAAAACGAACCTGGGAAATCAATAATTGCTAGAGTTGCAAATTAATCTCCAAAGTTACAAAGCAAAAATAGAATAATAGTATCTAACCCCAAAAATGAGGTTTACATGTCCTATTTATTAGCTCGAGTGACCAACAACACAAGAAGGGTCAGTGCAGACAGCAAGGAGACCAACATACTATCAGGGAGGTGATCATAATAAGCCCAGAATCGCAGAAAGAGGCAATGCAAGCAGGTAAGGTTTCTAAAACTTCTGATTCTGCTGTTAAAGAATTTCAGAGTGCTGGTGAGCTACATAAACTTGGAGAGGTGCAGCCTGGTAAGTCTTCTAATTCCCAACTTAATGCTATTGTGACTGATAAGGTCTCGACCCAGTTGCATCATAATGCAACTGAGCATATGAGTCCTGCCCAGAAAAATGTTACCCAGACGCAGGTACAGGGCAATGAGACCAGTTCTAAACAGGGGTATAAGGAACCTGTAGATACTCAGCATAACTATGGAAAGGATGCTGGGAATCATCCTCCTTTACAAAATCATTTCCCACAAATTTCCAACAATTTTGTTAGACATAATTCACACATTGCACAGAACAAACAGCTGGTTCAAGATCACTCCTTTCCTAAGGAACCAAACAAACACAATGAGCAGCATCAGCCTATCAAGAATGCAACTCAAGAACCAGCTCCCTACACTGTGATCCAAACCTATGCTGCCAGACTTCGATACAATCAGGCCAAAAATACTACTCCTGTACTGTTTGAAAAACCTAAGGTCACAACCAAGCAAGGTAAGATGGCTGTGATATTTAAGGAGGAGGATTTTATGACAAATTGGGCTACAGATTGCAGGTTCACCCTTATTGGGAAATTCAGTAATGCAATGCCTAAGATGGAACTGATCAGAAAGAGTTTCATAATCCAAACTCAACTATCGGGAGGAGTCAAGATAGCTCATCACAATTCTAGGCATGTCTATATTGATCTTGATAATGAGTTGGATTATATTACTGTTTGGACAAAGCAAAAAATGACCATAGAGGGCCAGCTTATGAGGATTCAAACTTGGACTCCCGCCTTCAAACCTGAAGAGGAAACTCCCTTTGTTCTAGTTTGGGTATCCCTGCCAGGTTTACCATGGCATTGTTATAAGAAAGAAATCATAACTGCCCTCTTGTCTCCTATTGGGAAGGTTCTTTACCTCGACAATGCATCAGCTCAAAAAACGAGAGGTAGTTTGGCTAGGGTTAGAATTCAGATTGACCTTACCAAAGAAAAGCAACAACACATTTGGTTTGGTTATGATGAAGAAGACCTGACTAGAGGAAAGTGGCAAGCCATCGAATATGACAACATTCCAGATTACTGTAACTACTGTAAGCATCAAGGGCACATGGTACAGGCATGTACAATCAAGCAAAGGGATGAGGACTACCAAAAAAGAAAAGAGATGGAAGCAAACAAAAAAAGTAAGCCAAAGGGTGAACAAGAGAAACAAGACAACAATACTAGCCCAACCATAAGAGAAGGCAAGCAAACCGACATCCAAGCTAATAAAAATGCACAAGTTCAGCAGGAAAAGGAAGATCATGAACAGGATGACCAGTGGCAGATTCAGAAAAGGAAACAACATAATAATCAGGACTAAGGCAATACCAAAACTGTGTGGAGGCCAAGGTCACCCCAAAATAAGGAAAACAGGAATCAAGGCCCACAATAAGCAGCTCGAACAGGTATGACTCACATCATCTCTACTCATAACATTTATAGTGATTTAGATATGCAGGAACAACCTACTACAGGTAAGGATGAAGAGGACACCAATAATCAACCAGAGGAGCAAGAAGATCAAGCAAAATACGAATCAAGTAAGGATTCACCATCAACAAATCAGCACAGCACAAAACATATTCAGAAAAACCAAGTTGCAGTCAGTCATCATAGCAAGACCACAGGTATTGACTTAAGTCTCCCAACACCCCATGACCCCAATATTTTACATGTGGAGCATGCTGTGCATGTTGTTGAATTCTCTGGAGGGATGGTTGGAGGGATACAAGAGAAAAAAACTAACCTGCAGGATGGGGTGACCAAAGGGAGGGAATTGACTCATGTTCTGCATGAGGGGGAATACACTGACCAAATTAGAGACCATAGAGCCCCTGCTACCCCTCAGAACAGGAAGAGCCAGACACAAAATCAGTATGCAGAGGATCAGCATATACAGAGTACAGGCAAGGAAAATCAAGATGCAGAAATCAGATCTCAGGGACATCTACAAGCAGGTACCACAGGGAAGCACATTACTGGTATTCCACAAGAGAAGGAAGGAATAAATTTTCAGATTCCCCAGCACTCTAAGGTTCCAGGGGAACCACCTGATAAGCCTCCTAACAATAAATCTCAAGCCAGGTTAAGCAAAAAAAGGAGAGATGCTATAAAAAAGAGAAAACAAAAAGAATCTGATCCAGTCAAGGAGCAACAGAGACAAAAGGAGGCGGAGGAGGAATTTGATGAATATGGGGTCAACAATTCTGAGGATGAATATGACCAAGACACACAGTCCATTGATGCTGATGAGGATGAAGAGGAGGAGATCAGTAATCAGTTAATTAAGGCCTTTGGATCCACATTCCACACTGAATATCAAGAAGAGGTTCAAGAAGTCACCGGGAAACAAGGTCTATCTCCTAGAGGAAGAAAAGAGACAAGACAAACCACTAAATCTAACAGCGCATCTGCTACAATTAGCAGACCAAATACTAGAGCTAAAAGCAGAGGTTTATGATGATCACAACCCTTTGCTGGAATGCTAGGAGTATCAACACCCACGGATCTTTGGAAAGGATTCAAACTCTCAAGAAAATGCACAATCTTACCATGATCGTAATTCTTGAACCTTTTGCAGATAGCTCGCAAATCAATAGCTATAGAATTCAGCTTAATATGGACAAGGCTCACAGTAATCCTAATGCTAAGATTTGGCTTTTTTGGGCTGGAGAGTTGGAGTGTAATGTTCTTGATACTGATGAGCAACACACTACCTGTGAACTGAAGCATTTAGACTACCCAGAGAAATTTATTATTTCTTATGTATATGCTAAATGCAAAGATCAACTTAGGAGACCTTTGTGGGATAATTTGATGCAAGTTTCTGAAACTAATCTTCCTTGGTGCACGATTGGAGACTTCAATGTGATTACTTCCACTCAAGAGAAACAAGGAGGCAGGGAATACAACATGAATAAGAGCTTTGAGTTTATTAGTGTCATTGAGCCTTGTGGCTTGATTGACATTGGATACAATGGTCAACCATTCACTTGGTGCAATCAAAGAGCTGAGGAGGCTAGAATTTGGAAGAGGCTTGATAGGGCCATGGTGAATGATAAATGGCTTGAAAGTATGCCCCAAACCACTATTACTCATCTGCCATCAGTGGGGTCAGATCATTGTCCCCTGCTGTTGGAAATGACTACGAGACAAGATCAGGTTACAAGGTATTTCAAATTCCTTAACTGTTGGACAGAAAACCCTAACTTCTATGCAACTGTTAAGGAATGTTGGGAAAAGGAAGTGTCTGGTAATCCCATGTGGTCCTTACACACTAAAATGAGGAGGCTAACTAACACTCTGAGTAATTGGTCAAGGGTGGAATATGGGGATATATTTGCAAAAGCTAAGGAGTATGAAGAACAGGTCAGAGGTGCTGAAGAAACTCTCATCACTGCTAATACTGAAGAAAACAGGTCCAAGCTACATAACATCAATGCCCAATACATTAGATATTTGAAGCTGGAACAGTCAATCCTCAAACAGAAAACTCAGCTACATTGGTTCAAGGAAGGGGATGCAAATACCAAGTATTTTCATGCACTTATGAGGGGAAGAAGGAGGAGACTTTTCATTCATAAAATCTCTATAGATGAAGGAGATTGGATACAAGGAGATGATAACATTGCTAAAGAAGCGTGTCAATACTTTCAGAACATATTCACTGGGCATACTGCCAGAATCAGTGAAGGTGTTCTGCAGTGCATTCCCAGAATGGTTACTCAAGATCAGAACCAGGCCCTTGACAGTATTCCAACCTTGGATGAGTTGAAACAGGTAGTAATGTCTATGAATCCTCATTCAGCTCCAGGTCCTGATGGAATAAGAGGAAACTTCTACCAGTCTTGTTGGGATATTATTAAAGAAGACTTACTGGCAGCAGTTCAATCCTTTTTTACTGGACACATTATGCCTAAATTCATGACTCATGCGTGTTTGGTTCTCCTCCCTAAAGTGGACCATCCAAACAAGCTTAATGAGTTTAGACCTATCAGCCTCAGCAACTTCTCCAACAAAATTATTTCCAAAATTCTAAGCACCAGACTTGCTCCTATCCTCCCTAGCCTAATTTCAGAAAACCAATCTGGTTTTGTTAGGGGAAGGAACATATCTGAAAACATCATGCTGGCCCAAGAAATCATCCATGGCATTAAAAAACCCAAAGAAGGTGATAACGTAGTGATCAAGCTTGACATGGCAAAAGCCTATGACAGAGTGTCTTGGTCCTATACTTGCTTGGTCTTGAGGAAAATGGGGTTTGGAGAGCTCTTCATTGACAGGGTCTGGAGAATTATGAGTAACAATTGGTACTCTGTGATCATTAATGGCAAAAGGCATGGCTTCTTCCACTCCACAAGGGGTCTCAAACAAGGTGATCCCCTCTCCCCAGCCCTATTTATTTTAGGAGCTGAGGTATTATCCAGAATGCTGAATCTCCTTCATCAGAATCAAATGTATAAGGGGTTCCAGATGGAGCTCAGAGGCCCTCAAATCAACCATTTAAGTTTTGCTGATGATATTATCATATTCACGGCTGGAACCAGGCAGTCTGTGCAGCTTATTATGAAGACAATCTCGACTTATGAGGCAGTTTCTGATCAACTCCTAAACAAGTCCAAAAGTCATTTTATGGTCCCTTCAAATACCAGTTCTGATATCATTGCTGGGATACAGGAGATCACTGGGTTCAGCAGGAAAGAGAGTCCCATTAATTACCTAGGGTGCCCCCTATACATTGGTGGACAAAGAATCATATATTATTCTGACCTGGTGGACAAAGTGGTCAAGAAAATCAGTGGTTGGCATTCCAGAATTCTTAACTTTGGAGGTAGAGTCACTTTAGTGAAACATGTTCTGCAATCTATTCCTATTCACACTATGGCTGCTATATCTCCTCCAAAAACTACTATCAAATATCTGAAGAACATCAGAGCTGATTTTTTCTGGGGAATGGACAAAGAAAGGAAAAAGTACCATTGGGCCTCATGGGAAACTCTCAGCTATCCTTGTGATGAAGGGGGTATAGGGGTGAGACTCCTTTCTGATATTTGTACCTCCTTTCAATATAAACAGTGGTGGACCTTTAGGACAAAGAACTCGCTATGAGGTCAATTCTTAAAAGCTAAATACTGTCAAAGAGCCAACCCAGTGGCTAAGAAATGGGATACGGGCCAGTCTTTGGTTTGGAAATATCTCCTTAAAAACAAACCCAGTGTGGAGCCCTACATTACCTGGAAAATACACTCAGGAAGCTCTTCCTTTTGGTGGGATAACTGGCTTGGAAATGGACCTTTGGCTGATCACATGGACAATATTTCTAGTTTAAACAATCTCCAAGTCTCTTATTTTATTGAAGAAGGACAATGGAAGGAAACATTAGTGAGACAACATGCTCCTCCTCTCATTGTTCCTATCATTCTTAATATTCATATTCAACATCAGGGAGAAACTCCTGATGAAGCAATCTGGACTCCAGCAGACAGTGGCCAATTCTCTATATCATCTGCATGGGAAATTATCAGAAAAAAACAGGCCAAGGATCTAATCAACACTATCATTTGGCATAAAAATGTCCCATTCAAAGTGTCTTTCTTTATTTGGAGAGCTTTGAGAAGCAAGTTGCCAACCAACGAAAAGCTCGCCAGTTTTGGAATCGAGCCAGTCAACTGCTACTGCTGTCACAGACCTGGGAGAGATGATATTGATCACATCCTTGTGTCTGGAAATTTTGCTAACCACATCTGGAAAGTCCATACAGCACTTCTGGGAATTGAACACTCATACACCACTTTGAGATGCCTACTGATGAAATGGAAAAGTAGCCAACACAGCAGCGAGGTTCACAAACTATTACATCAAGCACTCCCTATCCTTATTTGCTGGAATCTGTGGAAAAACAGGTGCTCCGCTAAATATGGAGGCAAGCAATCCAGCATTGGTAGAGTCAAGTATCTCATATTCAAAGATATTATGCAATTATTTATCACGGTATTCCCATACTTACAATGGCCCAGCAATTGGAAGGACGTGATCAGTATGATCGAGAACTGCAGGCATGAGCTTAAGGTAATTCCAGTCGGCTGGGACAAACCTATTATGGGATTGTACAAGCTGAATACAGATGGTAGTGCTCTTACCAATCCAGGAAAGATTGGGGGAGGAGGAATTCTAAGAGATGGACAAGGCAACTTAGTTTATGCATATGCTATACCTCTTGGATTTGGTACCAGCAACAAAGCAGAGATACAGGCAGCTGCATATGGAGTCAATTGGTGTGTGTAACATGGATACAAGAAGATCATCTTGGACGTGGATTCCGAGCTACTTAGCAAATGGCTCAACCACAACAGCCCAGCACCGTGGCAGCTTCAGCAGTACATACAGGAACTTAAAAATATCAGTAGTCAATGCGAGTACTTTCAATGCAAGCATACATTTAGGGAAGCTAATTGTACAGCTGATCATCTATCTAAATGGAGTCATAAACAAGACATTATTCAACATTTCTACACTTATCAGCAACTACCAGGCGCATCTCGAGGAAGTTACATCTTGGAAAAAATGGGTATGCAGAATTTTAGAAGAAAAAGACTCAGAAGAATTAAACAACCTCCTTGAAGTCATGTGCAACCTCTTCAACCGGGCTATGGAATAATTATAGCTTTCTTGAATAGGTTTAGGTTTCCATTCTTATTTTGTAAGGGGAGAGTCTCCCTTATTTACGATTTCTAGATTCTTTGTATCGAGAGGAGTCCTCTCTTTTAGGTACTTAGTTTCTAGATTTTCCTTTTTTAGAACGGGGATAAGTTGACTATCCTTAGTAGGAAGGTCGACTTATGAACCATCATAGGATTGGAGGTTAGGTTTATGTCCCCCTCCTTGTACTCCTGTTGTTTTATTTATGTTAAGGCCTGGGGGTGTTGCTAAGCCCCTGACCCCCCCAAGGGTCGTTCAAATTAAAAAAAAAAATGTCCTATTTATAGAAAACAAATCCTAAATAAAAAAGGAAACAAATTAAGGAAAGTTTTGTTCAGGTACGCGTCTTCAATCCATGAGACCGACTTACGGACCGTCGATGGATCTACGGTCCGTAAGTCCCTTCCGTCACTCGAGACTTAGAAAATATTTCAGCTTCCGAAACTCAGCTTCTCTGAAGTAAACGACGGACCAGCAGTATGGACCGTAGATCGACCTACGGTCCGTCAATCCCCTCCGTAGTTCCATACTTAGAATCTTCAAAAATCAGGTACTGGAACCCTCGCAGTCTCACTCTACGGATCAATAGTCCGATCCGTAGATCAATATACGGACCGTCAATGGGCACCGTGGTTCCACACTTGGTAAGACTTCCCTGATTTGTCCTCAATAGCATGCCTGCTGATCTACGTTCATAACCTACAGACCGTGGATGGATATACGGTCCGTAGATCACCTCCGTAGATTCATATTTTCTGCATTTTCTTCAGCTATCTCTAAACTTTCGCGCCTGAACACCTTTCCTGTAAAACATGATAAAAACCATAAAAACACAATATAAAAAGGCCCTAGACATACACAACTTGTAAGTGAAATGTATTAGAAATACCATAAACTCACGGTATATCAACACCCTCAACTTAAATTCGTTGTTTGTCCTCAAGCGACGCACTAGAACTCTAAACGACACTTGTATAGAAGCAAGCATTTCTAACTCAAGCAATCACATAGCTCTCCACCTCCTCATTGTTCGGGTGCACATTCGTTCTCTTAGACTCGAAAAGCCAACTCATGTGGATCACATCATGACACAGACCAACCCACTGACTCACAACAGACACCTTCTCACTGTCACCCAGGTACCGACTTTCCGACGATGTAACTAGTGCCCTTACGTCAAACGAAATCCTCTTCTCGCAAACATTTAATTTCATTCATGGTACAAGGATTTATTCAACACTCACGCTCAGAAGTAATTTCAAATACAGTTAGTGCTTACTGCCATAAGCTTGCCCTTATTTTCACTGCTTAGACTCTCCAAACTAGACTCTAGGATCACTATAGGACTTTATTGGCTTGTAACGTAGGCTCAGGGTCAGGTGTGGTACATTTGGGTACTACTTAGTGACTTTCTACTCTCTTTGTCATTACACTAGGCTTTTAACCTCTTTTTGCCCTATTTTTGTCATATTATTGCATTACCTTCTTCCCTTGATTTTCTTCAACCACGGATGTGACTTTAGACTTTGTAGCTCATTTTCCTTTTACCTTATTATTCCTTTCGCTTTTCCCAAGTCACATCCTTTCCTCACGTTTTCCCCTTCTTCTCTTTTTTTTTTAATTTTATTTTATGCCTTTTTTTCGCTTTTCATACCCATTTTTCTTTCAGTTTCCTCTTTCATAGCCACCCTCAACTTATGGATTTTTCGTTAGTTGAGGTGCACAATACCCGGTATCAGGTCAGGGCCAAGATTGAAGTTACTTTTACATTAGCCACCCTCAACTTAGGCTTTTGGCCTAAGTCAAAGTGCACATGTCCAAGGAGGGACCGGGGCCAACATAGTAGATTATGGGAAAGTGAGTTCGGGGTTTTAGAAAGAAACTGTTTATTTTTAGGCTCAAAGTTGGATCAAAGGGGACAGTTATTTCATTTGGTTGAATCTTTCTAGGCAATTTGTGGATTTTCAGAACAATGGCCTATGATCACTTCTTATCCTCTAGATTGAATTGTCTTAGCAGGACTAACCGGGCAAGTTCTAGTTTTGCACAAAAACCGTTTGAACAGTCAATGATTCTCACTCACTCTTGGCACATAGTTTCATTATCAGATTATCAGTTTACCCAGTTCAAGTTTCAGGTCTAGTCATGTCATATGGTCGATTGTTACTATGTCATACTCAGAGCCAACACAATCAACTAATCGTCGCCTACTTCTAGTATACAACCTAGAATCTGACGGGCATTATTTTTATAAGCCATCATGCTTCATTCTGTATCATGCTTCTACACCTACAATCCTAAGACATGCCGGTTCAAGAAAAAAATTAAACAGTCTCTTGGGGGAAAAGAACACAGGCAAGAAAACCCCAAGAGAGGATTCATGAGTTGGGTTACTCAGACTTTACCCTATCACTCACAATCCATTTACCCCACCCCCAACAAAAGTAGATGCAATTGTCCACAATGCATACATAAACGGTAAAAGAAAATGGATTTGGGTGAAGCAAACCTGTGGCGCAAAGCGCGGGCGAATCATCAACAAGCAGGGGGGTCCGGTTTCCCGAAGCCCTCTGGAACATCAGTGGGGGCACCTCAGTAGTGCCCACCTCAGCAATCCTAGCACCCTCAGTAGTGCCGACTTTAGCAATCCTAGCACCCTCAATAGTGCTCTCTATCAAACGCTCCACACCATCAGTGGTGCTCACGACGCCCCTCAAAATAGGCTGAACCTCTGCAACTGGGGCAGAGCTCGATGCCCTGCGGCTCTCTCACGCACCCTCTGCTGGCGCAACTCTTCGTCTGCAATCGAAGCCCTTGGCATGTGTTGGTGTAGGCCCTCCTCGGCGATGCCACTGAATAGAGCATCTAGCACTGTATCATCAGCCAACGCAGTAGGGGCAGCTGAGTCTCAACTGAAGGTGCAGCAAGAATGGCATCAATATCAGTCCGGAGGCTGGCTATGTCAGCCTGCAAAACAGATAAGTCTGTGGCTGGAGCTGATCGCTCGAGGACTCGCAACTCAAAGGCGTCAAGCCGTATATTAACCGCCAGGACCTTACGGTCCATCATCCCCTCCATCTTGCGCTCCATTCTAGCCTCGGACTCGGCAATCGACTTTTGCATCCACAGCTGGATGTGATGCAGCAGTGTGGCCATCTGCGCCTCTAACTTTTGTACTCTGGCCATC